TGGGAGTTTTCGAAGTTTGGAGCATTCAATTTCTGTTTTAGTTCATTTAAGTCGTTTGTTTCTTGTTTAAGCAAAGGTTTTAATGTTAACTTACATTGCTTAATTTAGTGTTAGTTGATCTAATAAATTTGGCCAAGATTAGGAGTCCAATGGGCTGACTTTTTGTTATTTAACTTTAGGTAATAAGTGGTTTCAAATCACATTAGGTCTTGAGTATGTGTAAGACTATAAATAGCCAAATACTCCCAACGTTTCTTTAGTTTTGGAATATATCAGATTTTGTGTGTTAAACACTTTTTCTCTTGTCCAAGAGAGTTTCTTTTGAATACTTGAGAATTACTCGAGAGTATTTCTCAAACTTATCAATCAAGTACACACTTTGGTTGTAGCGTTCTCCTACTCTTAACATTGGTTCACTTACTCGATTGATTATGGGTTGAGATTCATTTCAAGGTTCGCAATCTAGGGTTAGAAGGATCAAGTGTTATTCCGCAACTCAATTTGATTTTTTTCGTCTAGATCCGGGACTACGTGGAATACGAGTTCATACCTTCGGGTGGGTTCGTATCAATCCCACACATATTTACATGCATGATCGAGTGACTTTTAGATATTTCTTTGCTAGCGAGTATGTTCTGTAAGGGCATAATAGGAAAAAAATACAAAATGGATCAAATTGTCTTCATTGTTGATAAAAAGCACTCCTCTTGAAAAGCGATAATCTCTTTGGGAATGGGGGAAGCAAATCTAATTTGATGTTCCAAAAATACCCCTAACTGGTCGTGGAAAATAGATAAAAATGTGGTTGTGCCACCATAGAAGTCCTGTCTTAAAATAAAAAAATATAATTTAAGAACTAAATTGGTAAAAAAAACCTCGAGGACAGAAAAGATCTTAGAGTAAAAGTTCAAGCACCAAATTGGCAAATTTCCCAAATCCGAACTACTCCATAAAAACCATTTTTGTTTTAAGGATAATTTTAGAAACCTTCCTTAAAGTTTTCGACAATTTCACTTGGTTCTTTTGCAGTTTCAAAAATTAAACATACCTCTTTTAAATGTACTGTATTGGCAACAAAAACTATTCAATTGCCAAAATTTTGCCTGAATAACCCAAAATGCTCTCATGAAATTGTGAATTTTATTTTATCTTCTTATAAAATTCTTAAAAATATATGTATAGAACATAAAATCTCAATCCCACTTTTAACCCTTATCTCTACTATTTTAAAATTTTCATATCCCCATATTTCAAAATAGTACCATTATTATCATGACCATTACAACCATAAGTTTCTAAATTCTAAAATCTCAATCTAAGTTAATAAAGAAAAAAAAAACAAATTAGCATTGTTAAACTCAAAAAATTTCACCAACTGTAGTAACATAACATTCCATCCCTCAAATGTTAGAGTATCAACACTAACCCCATCCTTTTTAAACCTTCAACTTCATTTTTTTCTATTCATTTCTAGATTACCCAAACAAAGCTAAAATTAATTTGCAATGTGTTAAAATTGTGTTTAGAACATAATTAGTTATTCCACAAGTGAATTTTATTTTTGTTTTTATTAAATGTCTAATTGTGTGATGCATTCATATGCACAAGATTAGAAGCAAATTATTTAATTGCATGAAGAAATATTAATAAGTTAAGGTTATTATAGTCATTTCATAAGGTCAAACGAAGTATGTGTAATATTGAAAAGGGGATAATTTTAGAAACCTCCCTTGAAGTTTTTAACAATTTCATTTAGCCCCCTCTGGGTTTTAAAAATTACACATACCTCTCTTGTTATTTAAAATGACAATACTACCCTTAAAAATTCTTTTTTCTTCTTATTCCTTTTTTTTTAAATTTTTGGCAATAAAACTGTAAAACTACCACTATTGCCTTTAGTTTCTATTATAACCAAATGCCAAACTAATAAATTTTTTTGATGAGTTAACTTATATGTAATCCAATGTTTTTGCTGATCTTTGTTTTCTATTTTTTGGTATTAAAATTAACAATAAATAAAAAATAAATGGTCTAAAACCACTACTAAATTATGGCTCCGCTTGGATTAGCTGTTTTTGGAGGTGTTTTTTAAAAACTTTACTGTAACTTTGTATATGAAAAACTTTTACTGTAGATGTTTTTTGGATTATTTTTAGAGGTATTTTTAAAATATATTTTTGAATATTTTTATAATTTAGAATTTTGTTGAGATTCCTTTTAAATATATACCGGCTCTATTTCTATATATTAATGTTTATTTATTTATATATATAATATTTTTATTTCAATTTTGTTTTTTAATATGTATATTATTATATATTTAATATACATATACAAATACATATATTAATATACATATTATAAAACAAAATTTATATGTAAATATTTATATAAATATATAAATATATTTTAAATAAATATTAATATTTATATATAAATGCATATATTTATTTCAATTGATATAATATATATAATATACATATTAATATGCATAATTTAAATTACATATTAATATTAATATAATTTATATATATATAATAAAATATACATAATTGAAATATACAAATTGAAATATACATATTAATATATATTAGTATACATATTATAAAACAAAGTTGAAATAAATATATTTACATACTTATATAAATATATAAATAAATATATTTATATATTTATATAAATATATAAATAAATATATTTATATATTTATATAAATATATATAGATATACATATATATTTATATTTAAATAAATAAATAAATATAAATATATTTTAAACAAAATATTTATATTTATATATAAAAATATAATATTTATTTCAATTGATATAATATATATATTATACATATTAATATACATAATTGAAATATATTAATATTACTATAATTTATATATAACTTATATTAATAATTGAAATATAAATATCAAAATATACCTATTAATATCTATATATATATTAATTTACATATTATAAAAAATTTGAAATAAATATATTTATAAATTTATATAAATATATATAATTAAATATATTTATATATTTACATAAATAAATATAAATATATTTATAAATATATGTAAATATATTTAATTATATATATTTATAGTTTGTATTAATATATATATAAATATATTTATTAAACAAAATATATTTTTTGTATATAATATTTATATATATAAATATTTTTTGTATATTAATTTTTGTATTAATATTTAATATATTTTTTGTATATAATATTTATATATAAATATATTTTTTGTATATTTGGAGTTATTTTTAAAATATTTGTTTGGATATGGTATTTTTGAAATTGTTTTTGTAAAATTTTTACTGTAGTATTGTAGATGAAAAACTTTCAAATCCAAACGGAGCCTATGGTAATCTCACTACTCGAAAAATTCATAACTTCTAAATGAATTATTTCAACATTTTCTTTTCTATCTTATAAATCTAAATTCATAATAATATATTATCAAAAGTATCCTATCATAATGATAAAATTATAGTATAGTTGTTTATCAAATAATAGGTATGGACATGAAACATTTGACACCTTTTATATTAGATAATCTTATAATTATATAGAGAAATAAATTAGAATTCATTATACAAGGGTATTTTAGATATTTATTTAAAAATTTGGGGCTTGTTTGGAAGTGAAGTTTTTGGTCTAGTTTTTTAGTTACTAGTTGTTTAACAACTTTTGCTACAGGAACCCCAAAAAACTTTTCAAAATTTTTTACCTACACACTTCAAAATAATACACAAAAAATTTTCCCTTCAACTTTTCTTCTTCTTTTTCCTCCCCTGCCCAACCGGCCACCACCGCTTCCGGAGCCGGTAATTATTCCGGCCAACTTTTGCCGGCCTTCCTCTTTTTTTTTTTTCCTCTCCTTCCCCTCCCCTTTTGACCGATATGTTGGTTTCCAAAATCTCTTTTTTCTTTTTTTTTTCTTTCTCCCTCCCCCTCCCCTCTTTCCCTCTGTCTTTTCCCGCCACCTTCCCCCTTTGTCCCCCTCATCACCAGCGCACGCCGCCACCTCGCCGCACGTCTCTCTCCTCTCACACGTTTCTCAGTCTCTGCGGCCGGACACCGCTGCCCACGGCCGCGCGACTCCAGTGACACCACAACCCTTCTCTCTCCCTCGCAACGTCGACGAAGCCACCACCACCTCGCGCGACTCCAGCCCAACCACCGCCTGTTGCTCGCGCCACGCCCCCTGGCTCCACTGTGCGCCGCCGTTCCTCCTTGGCTATGACCCAAAGCCCTCGCGCGTTCTCTCTCCTCTTCGCAACTCCTACCTCGCCGTCGTTCCTCTTAGCTCCCTCCACCACAGCGCAGGGGTGGGGGAGAGGGGTTGCCGGCAAAGGGGTGGCGGGGCAGAGAGGAAAGGCAGGGCAGAGGGGGAAGGAAGGAGGGGGTGGCGGGGCTGAGGGAGAAGGCGGGGGGAGGGGGGTGGCGGGGGAGAGGAGGACAAGGGGAAAGGGAGGAGAGGGGTGGCGGAGGTAACGGGGAAGCAGAAGAAGAAGAAAGAAAAGAAAAAGGAAAGAAAGAAAAAGAAAAAGAAAAAGAACGAGAAAGAGAAAAGGAAAGAAAAAAAGAAATGGAAAAAAAAAATTCACATTACAAAAACTTCTACAAAACTTTTTCAAACACTTCTACAGTGCACTACAGTAAAGTTTTAGACAAACTCCCAAAAAACTCAGATTTCAAACAGGCTCTTGATCAAATCAATATTATTTTAAAATTTTGTTACTAAAACTAACAAATTAAGGGAGATAGGTGTAATTTTTCAAACATCAGGAGAGCTCAGTAAAATTGTCAGAAACCTCAGGAGTGATTTTTGAAAGTATCCCATTAAAAACCACAAGAGTGCGAGGTGTAATCGTTGGAAACCTTGAAGGAGGTTTCTGAAACTATCCCTTCTTTCTTGTAACAGCAAATGAAATCGCTGATTTGCAGAGCGGGGATGTATCAGTATTCACTGCGTCTTGGAGAAAGATGGAGAGACACTACTTTTGTGCCTTTCTGATGGCTGCTAGAGCGAGAAGAGCACCAGTCATCTCTTCTTTCGATCGCAATGTCGCAGCAGGTATTTCTGTTGAGCATATGTCCCCAAGCCCACGTCGTTTTTGGTTACCCTTTAGTTATATGAGTAGAAATTTTAGTGCTTTTCCTGCCCCTCTTCAGTCTCAAAGGAGTATTGAGTCTAGCAATCGGAGGTTGTTTAAATCTGGGTTACTTGATAATATTGACAGGCTTGATGATGCTTTGGATTTATACAAGCATATGGTCGGAATGAGGCCTCTGCCATCTGTTATTCAATTCACCCAATTGCTTGGTAGAGTAGTTAAGATGAAGCAATACTCTGCTGCAATTTCCCTTTACAAGGATATGTGTTTCTTGGGCTTTCCTATTGATGGTTATCCCTTGAATATAGTGATTAACTGTTACTGTCTGATGGGTTGGGTGGATTGTGCTTTTTATGCTTTGGGATCCTTATTCAAGCGCGGTTATGCACCCAATGTGACCACCTTCACCACTTTACTTAAAGGGCTCTTTGCGCAACAAAGGGTTGCCGAGGCACAAGAATTATTCAAGAAGATAATATATGAAAGACTATGCCAACCCAATGAGGTTATGTTTGGGACTGTAATAGATGGGCTGTGCAAGGTTGGGAACATTCACGTTGCCCTTGAATTTCTTAGGATAATGGAAAGAGGAAAGTGTAAGCCCAATACTATCGTGTATAGCACTATCATTGACAGCTTGTGCAAGGATAAGATGGTTGATGATGCTCTTGCCCTTTTTGCTGAGATGATTGATAAGGGCATTTCCCCAAATGTCATCACTTATACTTGTTTGATTCAAGGCCTATGTAACAATGGCAGATGGAAGGAGGCTAAAAAGCTTTGGGATGGAATGGCTGATTTTGATATTTCTCCAAATATTTGTATGTACAACATGTTGGTTGATATGCTTAGTAAGGAGGGACAGATTAAACGTGCGGAGGGCATTATTAGTGTCATGATTAAGCGTGGTGAAAATCCTACTACCATCACCTTCACAACACTGCTAGATGGATATTGTTTACAGGGCCAAATGGGTGAGGCAAGAAAAGTTTTTGATCAAATGAATGCCGGAGGACCGGGTATTGATATTCACAGCTATAGTATTTTAATCTATGGATATTTCAAGAAAAAGAAAGTGGACAAAGCTATGCAGCTCTTCAGAGAAATTCCATCTAAAGGTTTGAAAGCTGATATTGCTACTTATAACATAGTGCTGCAAGGTCTATATGGGGCAAGAAGGTGTGCCACTGCAAAACTTGTTTTCGATGATATGCAAGCTGCTGCACTAAAACCTGGTTTTCACACTTATTGTGTCATGTTAGAAGGTTTGTGCAAAAATGGCCATATTGATGAAGCGTTTCTGTTATTACAAAAGATGGAAAGTGATGGTGTAGAACTTCATATTGCTATGTTCACCATCATCATTAATGGATATTGCAAAAGTGGGAAACTAGACATTGCACTAAGTGTTTTCTGCAGTCTTCATAGTAAAAAATTGCATCCTAGTGTTGTGACTTACACAACACTGATTAAAGGACTTTGTGAATCAGGAAAGCTAAAGGAAGCTGAAGGGTTTCTTGTGAAAATGAAAGCTGATGGTTACTTGCTAGATAGCCGTGCATACAATACTATTGTTCATGGATTTCTTAAAGGTGGTGGATATGCTGAGGCAAAAATGCATCTTGAGGAAATGTTTGGGAAAGGTTTTTCTCCAGATGCCTCCACTGTTTCAGTGTTACTGGATTTAGTTTCCACTGAAGGAATTAATCAACTTGATACAGTTCTAAAGTTTCCTCCCAATCCCCATGGGGAAGTACATTGTAAGTCTTCGGAATGAAGAATTGCATCCTGATGTTGTAGCTGCAGTATGATGATGATACATCGCCTTTATGAAATGGAACTGATCAAGGAAGCTAAAAAGTATCTTAAGCAAAAGGAAGCATCCAAAGTCTCTGCATAGGGCTTACTGCTCGTAGGTATCTCAGAGAGGATAGATATGCTGATGCAAGAATGCATATTCATGAAATGCTTTCAGAAGGTCTCCTACTGCAGTCATCCACTCTCTCTATTTTACTTGATGTGGCTTTCACTGAAGGAAACATTTCTAAGCTATTTGATATGGTTTTACAGTTGCTTTCAAGTCCCTTCAGTAAGTATTGAGAGCTGTAAATGGATCATTGCAGGTGGATTATATTGTCTGAGAGTCCCTGAAGAGCTCATTTGTGTGGAAATGGCATGAATGGACAAATTGGAAAATAAGGTATGGCACAGAATATTTCTCTTTTCCATCTTTGCTGGATTAACTTTACCGCTGAATCTATGTTTATCATTTGAGTCTGTAGTAGTCACCAGATAGTCAGTCCAGTTTTACGTTTTAAGTAGTGTAATGGCTAACATCTTGTACCATCTGACGTCTTATCCAAACTAGTTTGAAAACTTTGTTTACCAAACTTGCTTAAGTTTTATTTATATGAGTGGATTGATGTAAGATTTTGCATTTTTTGTGATAGCAATTTTAAGTTTTTGCTACACACAGGTAATTCCTGTTTTGTAGGGTCATCTGTAGTTTTTTGATTCCTCATGTTTGATTTTCTAGTCATGGTTTTGGAAATCCCCGTAAAGATTATTACCTGGATCAAATTGATTCTGTTTTAAATTTCAATTCCACATTGATAAAACACTGCTTGAGAGATAAGTTTTAGTAATATGAATTGTTTGGAGCTTGAGTTGTTTTTTGTATTATATACACGTGGACTTGTTGGACCACTCCAATGTGTCTATGTAAGTTATTTCAAAGATTTTACTCGTCTTTGAATATACTTTACCCATTTTTTTTAAACCAGAGCACCTTTTCATGAGTGTTTCGGCTCTTGAACTTTTGTAATGATTTTTATGAGTGTTTTGTTGAGATTTTCCTACTAAGGTGTTACAAACCTTTTGTGCAGAACAGTTTGTTATGGCTATTTCAGAATAGTATTCAATAAATAGTTTATTAGAATGTTTTTGCTAAATACATCTTTTCTAATCTCACCAGATTTTGTTGTGGATACCTGAAGAATCTTATTTCTCTCCATAAGGTTTAGATGTTTGTTCCTAAGCCATGATTAAGAAATAGAAGCTTATGAAAATCAAATTGATGATAAGAGGTCACCTGAGACATTATCTACTGTTGAGTGTTCGAGGTTTACTGAACAGTGTTTTAGTTGCTCCAGATTTATTATTTTCTGGAGCTTGAGTTCCTTTAGGTGTTCTCCAATACTGGATTTATGTCTTTGAAAAACTCTGGAAATTTTTTTTGAATTTCTTTCATGACTTTTTTGTTGAGTGTTTTATTTCCTTTGACTGTGTTATTAGTTGCCTTTTGGACAGTTGAAGTTATACTTTCGCTATATCATGTACAGATTATTTGCATTACTTACTAGCAGTTATCCCTCAAGGCATATGTTTGGATACCTGCTTTCCTAGGTGGTCTTATCTGTTAAGAGAATATAAGTATCCTTGTAGATAATAGATTAGGAAGGGTATTCTTGTAAATAGTTTGTTATGTTTGTACTGCTATAAATACTAATTGGTCACTCATTATATGGTGACTATATGTTTTCCTCCCAAAATACCTATTGTCATGGTATCAGAGCAAAAGTCCTAGGGTTAGGGTTAAACATCTAGCAAAAGTCATGTTCACGCGATATTGGTCATCGCGTACTATTCACGTGATACTGTTCATCGTGTACTATTCACGCGTTGCTGTTCAAAGGTATTCTTCATCGTGAATTTTGATTGTTTTTTTGTTTGAAGTGCTATTCACTATGGTTGAAAGTTTATCAAAAGGTATCATGACGTCCGCTAATATTAGACAATTACTATAGGTCCCCAAGTGGCAAGAAAGATTGAACACGAGTAGGGTTCGGAAATTTTTGAAAATTTCGTGTAAGCTTGTCTTTGAAGTTGGATCCTCAAAAGGTGCAGGACTCGAGTAAAATTGGATTATTACTTTCGAAATCATTGGTGGAAATGAGTACAAGCGAATAAATCTCGAAACGAATGACCGAAATTGAAAGTGGACTGGCCACGTCACAATCCGGCCGAATATCCGGTCGGATTCTTGGCCGGATTGGAGGCAGTAGCCATCCTCATTTTTTTCAAATCCCAACTACAATCTGGCCAGAAATTGGCCGGATTTAAGGCCGGATTCTAGAAAAATGCTTCCCGCGCGGATTTCTTTTGAATTTCCAGAATTCTCGATTTTTTTTGGTCAAAATTTTGAAAAATCACAACTTCTTTTCTACTAGTCAAAAATTGATAAAATTGGTACCGTTGAAATCGTCTTTGAAAGTACTAAAAGTTCTTAGAAGACACCGTTCCATGAATCTAAATGGAAGGTATTCAAAAATGAGCTTAAAGTTACTGTTCCAGATCACCCAGGATTGAGCCGGGGTTGGTTTTTCGCTTGGAAATTCGGCAGAATTCACTTGTTACAAACCAACTCTTGAAATTTATAGATAAATTAGAGATGCAAGTAAGGTTTAGTACAGAACAAGCGGATCGAGAATCGGAGTTTCGAGCACCAAAATATGGTAGCTCAAAGTTGGAAAAAATTCAAGACTGTTGAAAATTTCCAGATTTGGTCCTTTAGTTAAGTGTCGAAACGGATTTGGATTGGTACCAAATTTTGTAGTATGGTACTCCTATATGAAGGGTATATCTCTATCAAATTTCGTGAAAAAATACCTTCGGAAAGGTGGTTAATCAATCAACCAAAGTTTTGAAATTAGTAAGGCAAAACTGCCTTTAGTTCCCTTTCTCTCCGTTTCCAAGCATTCGGCTAAGGAAAAACCTCCAAACATGGTTCATTTGTGCAAGAAAGGTCTAAGGAACATACATGGTACTTTTAGTAGGTGTTTAGCACCAAGAAATTTATTTAGTAAGACCACAACAAGTCTCACATCTAATCTGTCCAAATCTAAGAGTTTTCAAAAACGAGGCAGTCGTCGTATTTTGATCATAACTCACTCAATTTAGCTCAGAATTGGGAATGGTTGATAGTGTTGGAAAATACATTCATAGGGCTATAATTTCACAGAAGAAATCATTTTGAATTTCGGTACACAACTAGCTCGAAATCGAGTTTCAAGTCACAGCTCCTATATTCCATTCCAGCAGAACAGAGAAACAGAACAGTTGAGTTCAGAAGAGTGGTGCGGTTCACACACATGGAACCAGAATGTACATTTTATACCGTTGGAAAGAGGGGGATGTCTAGTTTCAAATGCCACCAACGGCACTCGATTTCGACATCGGAGGACAAAGTTACGGCCGAAATACGAACACTGGTCTGGTTATTACGAAAACAGTTTCCAGATTACTAAGCTTTGGGAATAAATTCATTTGACCAACCAAAACTCAATATTTTTCAATGAAAATTTTTACACGACTACTACAACATGTAAACAACACAATCAAGCCATTAAATCTCCTAATTTCTGCATTAAAGTGGCCGAACAAAGCAGGGGCAAAATGGTCAGATTTGGTCTTTGCACCCCAACGTGAGTTTCCATCAATTTTCCATCAACAAACCACTAATTTAAACACTAATCCAACATTATAAACATTATCTAGCACAAAATCAGCAACAACCCAAGAGTGGGAGTTCATAGAGCCTCCTTTTCCAATTTTTCAATATCAACAACAACCCATAAGAAATTAAGAGCTAAAAGATATACTAGAACTTCCAAAAATTGAAGTTAGAAGGCTAAATTAAAACTTACTCTAGTTGATGTCTCAGTCAGAGATTCGATCCCTCCTTGCTTCTAAGTGAGCCGTGAAAATCCTTCCCTTTTTAGTTAGATGTGAACTCCAAAATTTAGGCTAAGTAGTGCTAAATTTTGAGAAGATTTGGTGGTGATTTGAGTGAGTTTTTGTAGAGGAAATGTTGGAAGTTTTCGGTTGCTCCCTTGCTGACTGCTAGCCGTCCATGGAGCTTGAAGAAATGATATGTTTTGCTGATTCAATTGCGTACAAGGAACGCTGACCGTCTAATATTTTAAGTGCGTAAAAATCAATTGCAACTAGTGCGCCTACGCCGCGTTTTGTGCTCGATTTCTCTTAAGTTTGTTGCACTAGTGCACTAAACCTCTAGGGCACTTACATTCATATAAATATTATTCATTCTTAATTGTCCCAAAATAATGGTCCAAGGTCCCTCAATTAAGCGCGCACGTAAAAACACGTATTTCCAATTTAGGCGCGATAAAATGAAACTTTCGAGAAATTCTTATAACAATCATACTACCAACTATCACTTGAGTTTTTAAACCTAAAATTGCCTATTTTAGGACCATTGTATATGTCTCAAATTTTTGAGCTTATTGTACTCCCAATTGGCTAAAGTGTTTAGACACGTTTTCACTTTTCACTAAACAAACTTATAAGAAAATAATTTTTGAAACGAGACACTTCAAAAATATAACGAAACTATAAAACCCTGTACTTAGGTCTAATAAGGCTAGAAAATATTATTCGTGACAAAAATCCAAATAAATAATTAATTTAGCCAAAATTAGGGATTTTAAAAATAATAGATTTTCGAGTCCTCACATCCTCTCCCCCTTAAGAAATTTCGTCCTCGAAATTTACCTTGATTGACGAATAGGTCTGGATACTTTTCTCGAATTGCTTTTTCGACCTCCCAAGTTGTTTCCTCCAACCCATGGTTCTTGCAGAGGACCTTTACTAATGGTATTTGTTTATTTCTCAATTCCTTTACCTTCCTATCCAGAAGCTTAACCAG